AATTTATAATTTGTCTTGAATCTCATTTTGTAAAAAAAAAAAATCGTGAATCGAATCATGAGTTGAGTGAATCGTTACATCCCTATTTTTAATATTTTTATAAATAAAATATTTTATATATTTAATTTTATATTACTTTTTTTAAATTGTTTTATATATTTTTTTTTTTTAAATAATTTTATATTACATTTTATATATTTACATATTTATATTTGTATATTATATAATTTTTTTCTACATTTGTATTTACATTATACTGCACGCGGTACCTCAGTGAGTCCGGCGTCTGCGGCCGCCTGCAGGAAGTTGAGCGCCGCTGCTGCATCCGTCTCTGAGCTCTGCTGCCCTCTGCTGTTCAGGAGGAGTTTAGCGCAGCGATACTGAGCCTGCCGGTGACCAGCGGCTGCGGCGCGGCTGTAATAATGCACCGCCTGAGAGACAACAGAACATATTAAAGACAGAAGCAATTATTAGTATTGCTATTACTATTATTTAACTAATAAAAATCAAACCAATACACCCGTGCAACTTATCTGTTTTTATTTCTTCTCTCAACAATGCAATTTTAATGTGCTGCAAGTTAAATAGAGGTGCAACATTTTTTTCCAGAAAATATGGTATATGAGTGTAAATGTGTATGTACGTATATATAATGTTGCGATAATAGTGATTTTATTATTGTTTAAATTATAAAAAATTAACTAATCAATAAAGAAATGTTTAATGCAATAATACTAATATACTGTAAAATTTAATAAGCATTTAATAAATAATAAATATTATTATTATTTATCATTTACTACTGTGCTGTAAAATAAAATAAAATAAAGTATTTTGTATAACCCCTCCCAAACAAAACAAGTATTTAATAATAATATTAATAAATACTTTAATTTTAATTTGTACATTTTATTTGATTTTACAGAACTAGTTTTATTTGTCAGAACAACAGTGAATACTAATATTGACGTCTGTAAAAATGTCTTTAATTTCAAATATTAAAACAACTTTTTTTTTTTACATTTTTTGTTGGCGAGATTTATAAACGATTCTCAATAAAAGTTTGGGAACATTAGTGCACGTGTTACGAATGTACTTTAAAACAGAGCAATTTTTCATATTTCTCAGGTTGGAAAATAGATATCTGTAAGCAAAATACAGATAAAATGCCTTTTAATTCTACTTTTTTTATTATTAATGTTATTACTTTATCTTAAGCTTTTCTAAATGATGTACCGGATTTCCTGGTATGCAAGTCATTTTTTTATCATCTGAAACATGTTGCAACTAATTTTCCAAAGCAAGTTATAGTATGCAATTAAAATTAAGCATGCAAATATTTTCAAATATGCTAAATGCACGCAACCATATAAATAAGGGAGAATCCCAGCACCTTGCTGAGGTCCGTCTGTGCTCCTCGTCCCTTCTCGTAACAAACTCCCAGGTTAAACTGAGCTTTGCTGTAGTCGTGCTGCGCCGAGGCCAGAAAACAGGAGAAGGCCGTCTCGTAGTCGCCCGCTCTCGCGCTCTCCAGACCTGAAACACAGCGAGCAGAGCTCGTTCAGATGCATGTTCACATCACGCAGCGGCGCTCTGAGTGCGTGAGCTCGTCGTTACCGATGATGTTGAGGATTACGGGAACGCTGGCGTCTGCCACGCTTCGCAGATTCTGCGCTGCTGCATCGAGAGAAACACCTTCCTGCAGGAAACATACACGTCAAACTAATTGGCATCTACTTGCATAGCGGTCTATACAATACAGACTGTTTCAAAGCAGTTGCACCGTAATACACAGGAAAATAACACTGTTAATGCTGCAAAATCTGTCTTAAGTTATGAAACAAATTCAACTTTAGCTTTAAATCAGCTCTGCAGAAGACAACAGTGTCTTTACTGTTTTACTCAGGATTTCTGTCTTGTTTACAGATATCGAACCTGAGAAGCAAATGACTTGTTTTCTGAAAAATGCATCAAAATGAAATGAGTTTATGCTTAAAACAAGAGAAAAAATATCTGACGGTGTCGTCAGAAAATAGACTTAATTCTTGTTTTCTGGAAAATGTATGAAAACTGAGTAAGCTTTTGCTTAAAACAAGAAAAACTAACTTAAAAGAGAAAAGAAGATAATTTTTCTGACCCCATTGTTTTTAAGCAAAACCTTGATCGATTTTATAGAAAACGAGACAAAGATATTGAGTAATAAAATCATTTCTTGCAGTCGATTCAGCTTAATTTACTCAATGTTGATTCAGTTCAGTTCAATAACAGTGTAAATGCTGCAAAACTCACTAATTATTAAACTACTTCAGCTCTACAACAGACAATAGTCAGATCAATTCAGTTCAATTTTGATTCAAATACAAGGACAAACTGTGTTTTTCGGTCTAAATTGTTACCTCTGGTTTCGGTTGTTCAGGAAAAAGAGTTTCATCTGTAAGAAAATCCAGAATCAAGAGTCAACACTTCACATCTATACTGTATGAATCTGCAATTGCATTTTTTACTGTATTTATTTCAACTATAGTCACATACAATCCAAAAAGAACAAAGCACAGTACAGTTCAGAATGTCTGAAGTACAGAAGAAGAAGAACAACAAAACTAGATAAAAAAGTTCGTCAAGACAAACTTTAGGTTGGCTTGAGAAAGCCTAGCCTGAAAGTTTAAAGCAGTCGTAAAAGTTTGAAAATTTAGACAGATTAGATAGATGTTGATAACATGTTTCTAGCATGCTTAGTGTGTTTTAACATGATTGGCCTGTTACTAGCATATTGCTAGCATGATCAGCACGTTGCTAGCATGATTAGCAAGTTACTAGCATGTCGTTAACATGTTTCTAGTATGATTAACAAGTAACTTGCATGTTGCTAGTTGACTAGCAAGTGACTAGCATGTTGTTAGCATGATTAACATGTTACTAGCACGTTGCTAGCATGATTAGCAAGTTACTAACATGTCGCTAGCATTTTTCTAGCATGCTTAACATGTTAATAGCATGTTTTGCTAGCATAAATAGCAAGTAACTAGCATGTTGCTCGCATGATTAGCAAGTTACTAGCATGTCGTTAACATGTTGCTAGCATGATTAGCAAGTAACTAGCATGTTTGCTAGCATGTTACTAGCATGTCACTACCATGTTTCTAGCATGATTAACATGTTACTAGCATGTTGCTAGTATGATTAACAAGTATCTAGCATTTTGCTAGCATTATTAACAAGTAACTTGCATGTTGCTAGTTGACTAGCAAGTGACTAGCATGTTGCTAGCATGATTAACAAGTGACTAGCATGTTGCTAGCATGATTAACAAGTTACTAGAATGTCACTAACATGTTTCTACCATGATTAACAAGTTACTAGCATGTCGTTAACATGTTTCTAGTATGATTAACAAGTAACTTGCATGTTGCTAGTTGACTAGCAAGTGACTAGCATGTTGTTAGCATGATTAACAAGTTACTAGCATGTTGTTAACATGATTAACAAGTTACTAGCATGTCACTAACATGTTTCTAGCCTGATAAGCATATAATACTAGCATGTTGCTAGCATGATTAGCATGCTAATAGCATGTTGCTAACATGATTAGCAAGTTACTAACATGTCGCTAGCATTTTTCTAGCATGATTAACATGTTAATAGCATGTTTTGCTAGCATAAATAGCAAGTAACTAGCATGTTGCTCGCATGATTAGCAAGTTACTAGCATGTCGTTAACATGTTGCTAGCATGATTAGCCAGTAACTAGCATGTTTGTTAGCATGTTACTAGCATGTCACTACCATGTTTCTAGCATGATTAGCATGTTGCTAGCATGTTTGTTTCTTTCTGAAGCCAACCTAATTATAAAGTGCACATACATGTAAATATTTATAAAAAAATTCTATAAAAAGTGCTATCTAATATGTGTACAGTATGTTGGTTTTTCTGACCGCAGAGTGACGCGGCGCTCTCCGGCTCCTCCTGCTGGTCATCAGAGCTGTGCGCCGTCTGCAGGTCAGAGGTCGTGTCTCCATCACCGTTACCATGACTACGGTCACCGGAGCCGCTGTCTGGGGTCTGCAGGCACCTCACCGTCACACCGCCGGATAAAGCATGCGGCCGGGACACTGAGAGGCACATTAGCGTACAGAGTTAAACAAACCGCTCATAATTTTAGTATTGTTTTTACTGTATTTTAATCTAGATTCTTTTGTTGTTTAAATGACACACCATACCATATTTTCTGATTCCGACTCACTTTTAATGGTCTGTTGCACATACACAGCCAAGCTTACATAACAAATAATAGCAAAAGAAATTGACATTTAAGACTGGTTTTATGGTCCAGGGTCACGTATGTCAATAAAAACAGCTTAATCTGAGCAAGAGACACCTGTGTTGGCCTGACTGATCTCTGATTGGTTGAAATGTTGTATGATTGGCAGCAGGACTCACAGATCTCAATCAGGACTTTGTAGGAGCATTTCCGTATCCGGGCCGGTCCAGGGTTCTGATCCACGTGCGAGGACAGCCGAGAGTGAATCCTGCGACAGAGCTGCATGAAGAGAACCGCAGCGGCGCCCTGCGCACACACACACACACACACACAGAGTCACACACACACACACAACCACACGCACAAATACACACAAACACAAACACACGCACACACACACAGAGTCACACACAATCTCACACAAACACACACACACACGCACGCACAAACAAACACACACACAAACACACGTACACACGCGCACGCACAAACACACACACACAAAACACACACATGCACACAAACACACAGACACACACACACACACACACGTTAATAAAACACACCGCAGTGATGACGTATGAAAAACAGTAGAGTTATAAGTGAACTACCCATCCCACTGCATCGAGAGCGGTGTATCTCGGCAGACCAGTGTAGCAGAACTGAGATGTTCGCTTCTTTTTCTGATCGTGAGAACCGTGAGAACTGTGAGGACAGAGGGACAGTTAGTTCATCTCAGTGGCTTCAGGGTCACGGATCTCGCGTGCGGTCCGGTACCTGCTGCTGTCAGACGCGTGTCGTCCGCTGCTCAGGATGGAGGAGCTGAGGACCTCGTCCTCCACGTGATGACCCTGCGAGAGCCGCAGCGGAGCGTTTCCATGGCAACGGCTCACCACTGCAGGTCAGGAGCAAAACACATGTGACGACGACATGTCATGACAGCCACTGTGTAAATGATAATATTTCAACAGCAAATAGACATTTTATAATTAGATTTAGAAGGTAATTTAAGAACTGCATTATGTGAAATTTAAATGTTTGCATACAATTTTTTAAATTTGAGTATTGATTATTATAATTAAAAATAAATAGTAATTGAATTTAAGTTTGTAGCCATATAGTAATGTAAAAGGACTCGCTATAGCTTAGAGCATAAGCTGAGGTAGACGATAATTGCATTTATTTATTTAAAGAAAGAGGATTTTGTTCAGTAAACAGCTGTTTAATGTAAAAAATGCAATTTTATGCTTTTAATACGCCATACCGAACGGTGACGCCAAAACCGATGTACGTACCGAACCATCATGCTTGTGTACCGTTAGTTCACACCAAGAACGATAATGCTAACTATATTAGCCTCCACACCAAAAAACGACAACTATAAGTATAACTACTATAACAATAACTATATTAGCGTCCACACAAACGGACGATAAAATTCTGTTTATTATAAGCGATGCAGTTTTGTCGAAAGAATCGTTCACACCAACAACGATAACTACGCTGTAAATTTCGATTTGTTAACTTTACTTGAACAAATCTTGCAAACTTACTGCCTCAGAAAAACTAGTTAAGGTTACTTAGCATATTAACGTTTTCATAAATTAGCTTCGGAGTAAACATAAACACATTGAGCAACCATAACGAGAATTTATTTTTTTTATTTTTTCAAGTAACTTTAACATATTGAAATTTACAGCGTATAAATGTATTTTTATTTAATTTATACATTTATTTAAGCTTTAAAAATCGTTCTAATTCCACGAGTCCGCAACTATAACGATAACATTGGAATCGTTTTTTCGCGCTGGTGATGAACGATAAAAACATCGACAACCAATCAGAATCCACCTGACTATAAAGAGCGGCAAACATGTAACTGAAGCGCGCGCTTATAACGAACAGGACGTTTTGGTCAGTTTGTCTGGATTCTGATACAATTATTGTTATAGTTATGTTTATAGTTGTCGTTGTTGGTGTGGATGCTAATTTAGTTACCGTTATAGTTACCTTATAGATATCGTTCAACGGGCCTTATAACGCATGACAAGTGCGAACGGTTTTGTCGTTTGCAGCCTTAAAGTGTAGTGGAGGTGTTGAATTCACTATTTTAACAGAATTAACACGCTTTTTAGCGCACAATAACGTTCTGTTTTTATAAGCGCCGCACTACAAATAATCGCGTTCTTTGAAGTTTGGTGGATTCTGATTGGTTGTCCATGTTGTTGTTGTTTTTTAAACGTTCTGAAAGTTATGGCCAGAATAGCTGTGGTGTGTATTGAACTATTTTCATAGAATTAGAACGATTATTAAAACGTCACAGTGTAGTTATCGTTAGGTATCCTTATAGTATGTATTTGTTTGTTTGTGTGTGTGTATGTTTTCCCTGTTTTCTGTTGATTTTAATGCACTTTGCAACTGAAACCGAAACTATCCTCAAACTTATTAAAATATGTGTTTTATTCAGCTATTCAACTAAAGTCCTGCTCCTCTTAATGATACTTGTCACACAATCGTATGCAGTGAAACATTGCAACAATGTATCACTGCATTAATGTATCGTATCAATGTATCAGTTCGGATGTAACAGTGTATTAATGTAGCAGTTCGGATGTAACAGTGTATTAATGTAGCAGTTCGGATGTAACAGTGTATTAATGTAGCAGTTCGGATGTAACAGTGTATTAATGTAGCAGTTCGGATGTAACAGTGTATTAATGTAGCAGTTCGGATGTAACAGTGTATTAATGTAGCAGTTCGGATGTAACAGTGTATTAATGTAGCAGTTCGGATGTAACAGTGTATTAATGTAGCAGTTCGGATGTAACAGTGTATTAATGTAGCAGTTCGGATGTAACAGTGTATTAATGTAGCAGTTCGGATGTAACAGTGTATTAATGTAGCAGTTCGGATGTAACAGTGTATTAATGTAGCAGTTCGGATGTAACAGTGTATTAATGTAGCAGTTCGGATGTAACAGTGTATTAATGTAGCAGTTCGGATGTAACAGTGTATTAATGTAGCAGTTCGGATGTAACAGTGTATTAATGTAGCAGTTCGGATGTAACAGTGTATTAATGTAGCAGTTCGGATGTAACAGTGTATTAATGTAGCAGTTCGGATGTAACAGTGTATTAATGTAGCAGTTCGGATGTAACAGTGTATTAATGTAGCAGTTCGGATGTAACAGTGTATTAATGTAGCAGTTCGGATGTAACAGTGTATTAATGTAGCAGTTCGGATGTAACAGTGTATTAATGTAGCAGTTCGGATGTAACAGTGTATTAATGTAGCAGTTCGGATGTAACAGTGTATTAATGTAGCAGTTCGGATGTAACAGTGTATTAATGTAGCAGTTCGGATGTAACAGTGTATTAATGTAGCAGTTCGGATGTAACAGTGTATTAATGTAGCAGTTCGGATGTAACAGTGTATTAATGTAGCAGTTCGGATGTAACAGTGTATTAATGTAGCAGTTCGGATGTAACAGTGTATTAATGTAGCAGTTCGGATGTAACAGTGTATTAATGTAGCAGTTCGGATGTAACAGTGTATTAATGTAGCAGTTCGGATGTAACAGTGTATTAATGTAGCAGTTCGGATGTAACAGTGTATTAATGTAGCAGTTCGGATGTAACAGTGTATTAATGTAGCAGTTCGGATGTAACAGTGTATTAATGTAGCAGTTCGGATGTAACAGTGTATTAATGTAGCAGTTCGGATGTAACAGTGTATTAATGTAGCAGTTCGGATGTAACAGTGTATTAATGTAGCAGTTCGGATGTAACAGTGTATTAATGTAGCAGTTCGGATGTAACAGTGTATTAATGTAGCAGTTCGGATGTAACAGTGTATTAATGTAGCAGTTCGGATGTAACAGTGTATTAATGTAGCAGTTCGGATGTAACAGTGTATTAATGTAGCAGTTCGGATGTAACAGTGTATTAATGTAGCAGTTCGGATGTAACAGTGTATTAATGTAGCAGTTCGGATGTAACAGTGTATTAATGTAGCAGTTCGGATGTAACAGTGTATTAATGTAGCAGTTCGGATGTAACAGTGTATTAATGTAGCAGTTCGGATGTAACAGTGTATTAATGTAGCAGTTCGGATGTAACAGTGTATTAATGTAGCAGTTCGGATGTAACAGTGTATTAATGTAGCAGTTCGGATGTAACAGTGTATTAATGTAGCAGTTCGGATGTAACAGTGTATTAATGTAGCAGTTCGGATGTAACAGTGTATTAATGTAGCAGTTCGGATGTAACAGTGTATTAATGTAGCAGTTCGGATGTAACAGTGTATTAATGTAGCAGTTCGGATGTAACAGTGTATTAATGTAGCAGTTCGGATGTAACAGTGTATTAATGTAGCAGTTCGGATGTAACAGTGTATTAATGTAGCAGTTCGGATGTAACAGTGTATTAATGTAGCAGTTCGGATGTAACAGTGTATTAATGTAGCAGTTCGGATGTAACAGTGTATTAATGTAGCAGTTCGGATGTAACAGTGTATTAATGTAGCAGTTCGGATGTAACAGTGTATTAATGTAGCAGTTCGGATGTAACAGTGTATTAATGTAGCAGTTCGGATGTAACAGTGTATTAATGTAGCAGTTCGGATGTAACAGTGTATTAATGTAGCAGTTCGGATGTAACAGTGTATTAATGTAGCAGTTCGGATGTAACAGTGTATTAATGTAGCAGTTCGGATGTAACAGTGTATTAATGTAGCAGTTCGGATGTAACAGTGTATTAATGTAGCAGTTCGGATGTAACAGTGTATTAATGTAGCAGTTCGGATGTAACAGTGTATTAATGTAGCAGTTCGGATGTAACAGTGTATTAATGTAGCAGTTCGGATGTAACAGTGTATTAATGTAGCAGTTCGGATGTAACAGTGTATTAATGTAGCAGTTCGGATGTAACAGTGTATTAATGTAGCAGTTCGGATGTAACAGTGTATTAATGTAGCAGTTCGGATGTAACAGTGTATTAATGTAGCAGTTCGGATGTAACAGTGTATTAATGTAGCAGTTCGGATGTAACAGTGTATTAATGTAGCAGTTCGGATGTAACAGTGTATTAATGTAGCAGTTCGGATGTAACAGTGTATCAATGTAGCAGTTCGGATGTAACAGTGTATCAATATAGCAGTTCGGATGTAACAGTGTATCAATGTAGCAGTTAGGATGTAACAGTGTATCAATGTATCACAGCTCGTGGGTGTTTCATAATCGCTCACCTCTGCCCACCAAACTCTGAATCCTCCACATGTCTGCTGTTGTTTCTGTGAGTTTATGAGGATTAATAAACTCACGCCATGATGCTGTCTGACAGTCACGAGTTACAGCAGCGGCTCGGTGAAGGACGAACGGCGGAAATGACGCAATCCCCCAACCAATAAACTACAGTCTGCGGTTCACTCTCCCGCCGCCAGAGGCCGCTGCTCGCCTGCACAGTTACAGCCGCAGGGTGCAGAGCTTCTGTTTGATGATGCATTTGTAATATTTTGACTAAATTCTTTGGTTATTACTTTAATTATTATTATTATTATTAATTATGCATATATGTTATTATATTTATATAATTTATATTATATGTATTTATTTATTAATTATAATAAAATGTGCATGTTTATTTAGAATCAGATTTTGATTTGCATTATATTATGTTGTATATTTCTTTATTTTAATAAAACATATAGTCTATTATGTTGTTTACCTGTTGATTCGGTTCAAATGTGTTTTGTTTAACAGGATCTAATAAGCTATGGGAAAGAAACTTTATTTCATGATTTTGTATTATTATTATCAGTTTAATTTTTTTATTAAAATATCATTTTTATTTAATTTAATTTGTATTTGTATAATTATTTTATTTATTTTTATTATTATATTTCATTAATGTAATTTTAGACTGTGTGTGTGTGTGTGCGCGTGTATGTGTTAGTGTTAGTGTGTGTGTGTGTGTGTGTGTGTGT